AGGCTGCTCCCCGAAGGCCTCCTTGGTCGGCGAGAGCTTCCGGGAGCCGGTGTCCTGGGGCTGAGGGTCGCCGGCCCCCGGCGCCTCCTCCCTCCTCTTGGAGGCAACTTCGACCTTCTTCTCCTCGGGGGACGCTGCCTTTTTAAAAGTCCTGTCAGCAGGGGGGTGGCGCTCCTCGGCCGCCCGCTTCTTGTGGCTGGGGGAGCGCGCCTCGCCCGCGGCCGCCTCGGCCGACTTGATCTTCACGGCCTGCATGCCGTTCTCCATGTACTTGCTCATGACGATCACGATGCGGCCGTTCTTGTTCTTGTTCTTGACGATCTTCATCTTGCCCCCAATCCCGTTGCCCGTCACCGCCTCCTTGGGGGCAGGCGCCAGCCCGTTGGGAGGGCCCTTCTCAGCGCCCTTGCCGGGAGCACCGGTCGCACTGGCCAGGGGCTTCACCGCTCCCAGGTAGCCCTTGGCCCCCGCACTGTGGGCCCACTTGTCGGGCGGGTGGCTCTTGGCCCCCAGGTCCGGGCAGGTGGGGCTGGGCGCCTCCTTGTGGCCGGCCTGGTACTGCAGGTCGTACATCTTGGGGTCGGGCTGGTACGGGTGGTGCTTCTTGCTGTTGAGTTGGTAGTAGTATTTGCCCGGCTTGCCCGGGGGTGGGGGCTTGCCCGCCCGCTCCTTGCTGTGCGGCTGGTATTGGTGGTGCTTCTTGCTGTTGAGCTCGTACTGGTGCCCCTGGCCCTTGCCCTGAGTGCCCAGCTCCAGCTTGGCACGGTTGTCAGCAGAGGAGTCTTGGAGTCCAGTCAGGACATTGGAGCGACGGGCAAAGGTAGGCACCTGAAAGAAGGGGGTAGGGGGTGAGAGGAGGGAGAGGGCGGGCCACAGCAAGCTGGGAGCCTCTGGGAGTGTCCCAGCCCCCCAGGCTGTGTCATGGGGGCAGGGTGTGGGAGGTCCAGTAGACAAGGGAATTGGGGTGCGTGGGAGGAGTCCCACCCCCTCTAGGCTGGCAGCACCTCTGGGACACACAGGGAGGACTGTGGGTCATCGGCATGTACTCACCTGCACCACCAGA